CGTTCGTACTACCGGGCCTCTCCAATACCATCAAGCCCTGAACACGAATGCCCTTTAAATTCCAGTACTTCGCGTGTTTGCGGAAGTGTCAAAAGCCAGGGGCGGCAAGTCCGCCGCCAATAATTACATGCCCAGCTATGTACACATGCAATGCAGAGAGAGAGAGAGAGAGAGCGTGAGTTACGTGTTTGTGCGATATGCATCTATGTACTCATGTGTGTAATGTATGCATTATATGTACATGTACATACATGCCTTTGCATATTCAACCGTGTATATATACATATATACGTACATATACATTCTCATATATGTGTGCATACATACGCACATACATACGCACATACATACATACATACATACATACATACATACATACATACATACAATAAATACATATACATATACATATATGTATGTATGTATATATACATATATATATATAGACATGTACACATAATATGTACGCACATGTGCGTGTGTGTGTGTGTGTGCGTGACACATGGGCAGGTATGTGTGTGTGTAAATGTAAGTGTACATGTTTTTTTGTGTACAATTGTGTATTGGTGTTCATATATATATATATATATATGAGTGTGTATATGTATGCACGCGTGTATGTATACATGCATGAATGTCTTCGTATGTCTTATGTATGATGTACGCATGCATGTACGCATGCATGTGTGGGGGCGTATGTATGTGTGCATGTATGTATGTATGTATGTATGTATGTATGTATGTATGTACGTATGTACGTATGTACGCATGTACGTTTGTATGTATGTACGTATGTATGTGTGTGTGTGTATGTATGTACGTATGTATGTATGTATGTATGTAGGCATGTATGTATGTATGTACATATGTACGTATGTTTGTATGTGTGTATGTGTATTTGTATCTGCATGCGTATGTGTATGTGTATGTGTATGCGTATGCGTATGCGTATGTGCATGTGCATGTGTATGTATGTATGTATGCTTTATGTCTAGACCTGATGAGTTGTTTTCTGAATCGTCTCGGCTCCTGGGATCCTCGCCTGACTTGGTCGAGCGCGAGTGCCAAAATGTATGTACATACCTGTTATCGTTTTACTATGCCTCTATGTATCTTTGTATCGATGTATCTATGTATGTATGTATCTCTGTACCGTCTGTACATATGTTTCTATATTACGTGTATGTGTTTGTGAGCATGGGACTTGCGATTCGGGTTTCGAGACCTGCTTAAGGCCGCCTCATCGACTTGAAATTCGCGAGACGAAAGCAGTTCAAAAGACTAACAGAGAGTTGCTCAGCCTCTTAACCCTACACCGAGCCGAAAGCCGATACAGAGGAGGGAGCTGTCCTTGGCACATTCCTGCGTCAGGCTTGCCTCGGCCTCTTCCCAGGAGAGACTTGCACAGTATCCTGCCGCTTGGCCACAGGGTTTGCGGGATTGCCTTTGAGGTTGTTCTTGATTAGTGTTGATTTATATACCGTTATCCTCAACTGTGAAAGTTATTAAATAGGTAGAGTGTTTAGGGGTCGGAACCGCGTCAAGTTCAATTCACCCAGCTTTGGGCTGGTGCATAGAAGATCCGGGCCGGATAGTTTGGTCCGTTGAGGTCCTTGATCTCAAACGGTTTACGGTTAAAAAGGGTTTAGGTTTAGGGTCAAGACATTCTGTTGACCTTGGAGAGGCCGAGACCTTAGACCTTAACCCTACTATAGGGGTCGGAATAACTTGAAATATTAGTCCCTGTTAGCTCTCAGGCCAAATTATAGTACCATACCCCTCCCAAAAAATGTTTTGATTACTCCGGTCCCGATATCAATCTCCGCAAATGGTGGGCTTTTCCGCAAGGAAGGAGTAACTCTGGGAAACGCCCCAAGTCGGATCAGAAGCAACCTGGGCCCCGAACCGAACCTTCTTTTAGGGCGCAGACTGGGTTTAGGGTTTAGGGTTCAGGGTTTAGGATTGGCAGAGTCTGGGTTAAAAACAAGGGTTTAGGGTTTAGGGTCTGGGGCTTTACACATTAGAGGTATGCTGAAGTAGAAATAATGTGCCTCTACAATGCACTTTTAGTCTAATGTAATATTTCCCAAAGCCTTGTTTTCCTTATTCAGGCCTCGTGATTCTAGTAGGATGCCCTGCTTGAATGTACTCATGTATTGGATACTGCCCACTCGGTAACAGTTGAACAATACTTACTATATAGATACATAAGGTCTTAGTAGCCCTTTTCTAGACGGTTCGTGTATGGGGGGCAGTGCCCAAGCGGTCTTTTGGGTTCCAGTCGAGCTTGTCGAGTTGGTGCAGAAAAAGGGTTACAGGTTCAGGGCCAAGTTTAGGATTGCTCGCAATGAGCTTGAACGCTAACGGCCGGAGAAAGATTCTGAAGTGCCAGGTGCCTTTGGATACACAGGGGAGCCACAAGAGTACCTTTGCACGCAGGGCCCCTCGTCAGCAAAGCTGTAGGGATTCAATTTACAGTTTCGGCAGTCGGTCCCTGTCTACAAGTATTCCGACTGCAAACCGAGAGCCTCTTCTGATCTCTTCCGATGTTGACCGGCCATGACAGCGCACAGGCGTGAAGGAGGCATGGTTGCCACTGTATTTGGGTAGTTCTAGAAATCAGGCTCCCTTTCAGGGTGTTTTGTGTAAGGGTGCCGTATTATTCAAATTAGATGACGAGGCATTCGGCCACCTTAAGTGAGTCATAGTTACTCATCACGGGACAATGAATCGAGCGAGCACGGTTGCAGCCTGAAAGCACGGACCGTGTGGCAGCATGGCTTTCGAAAGCTTACTAATTTAAACTTACCGAACTACCCATATAGGTATGACTTGGGAGAGGCATCCTTGAACCCCCCGCTAACCACGGTCTAGGGTTTAGGGCAGTGCTGCTTCTTACGGTACGGAATGTAAAATCTCGAGACCCCAAACCTAACCATCAAACTACTACAGGGGGTGAAACAAGATTGCTCCTGAGGTTTCCGCTTTGTAGTTACAATCTGATATGACACAACACCCGATTGAAATGATTAAGGTACCTATACTACGGGTTATTTTGGGGGTTTAGGGTTCAGGGCTTATAGGGTTTACAGATTTAGAGCTTGTGCGGCTGAAGGTGAAGTCTTCTCCGGTACGCCGCCGACTTGTGTGGCCACCACTACTACGGTTGCCCGGCTGCATCAGAGACACAATGCACCTTTGGGGGGGAGTTATCTTCTGGTTTTCCGTAGTGTTTTGCTCACAGCATCTCACAGCGCAAGACTCGTTTTGAATATGAAAAGCCCTAAAATACTCAAGCACAACAGAAGTGCAGAGCCAGTGCCTGCCCTTTACATAGAACTTCAACACCCTCAAGCCTCTTGAGAGCCGTTCTGAATTTGTGTCTAGCAAGCTGAAGGCAGAACGCTGAGGAATCGCAGACACGGCCGAGAGTGCTGTAAAAAAGGCAAGTTGGCTATGATAGTGAGAGTGCTGTTGATGTTCGTGGCAGTTGTGCTGGCGATGGGGCCAGTCACTGTCATTGTCGTGAAGGTGAAGATCACCAAAAGCATGATGCGGGCTGCACATGCTCATGCGTCATACACAGGGCCGCCATTACAGTTCTTCTGCTGCCAACACGAGCGCAGGGCAGTTATCCGGATGCGTGTTGGGACCAGGTTACCATTGCTACCACCATCACCACCATCATTATCCCGATCATATACCATCACCGGGCATCGTCATCGCCCTCAACATCGTCATCGCCACCGCCATCGTCACCATCATGACATCATCTCTAGAATCATCACACCGCCAACATCATTATCGTATTGAGTCTGCCCCTGCGACCAACAAGCACACCTCACCTTGGAGTCGATAAGCACTGTGACCCTGTATGATGATATTGATCAAATGTGAGAAAGAGAATCTTGATGTTGAGGTGATTATGTTGTTGTGGTGGCGACTACGTCTTTTGCTTGCTGATTCTCTCGTTCGTAATGCTGCCATGTTCGCAAATGATCACCTTAAGATATTAAGCCCTATAATGCAGAAGTGTGAATGAGCGGTATGACTTGTTCTTAGGTTTCCTGAGTATATTCATAGTAGACCATGCCCCAAGGCTCCATTGAAAAATAATACAGGGGCCTAAATCATTACCTATGTTATTCTGGGGAGTTCCTCTGTAGTGTAACTATAGTATGGTTCCTCTATAGTGTCACTATAGTATAATGGGCCCCAATACCCTAATCTAAGTATTAGGGTGCCTACATTCAGGCCCTTGCATTATCACTGTGATTCCAGGTTACAATCACGACCACGCATACGGTTCTGGTCATGTGCGAGGAAGCTTTCTGGCTGCAAGTAAAAGCTTTTGGAGGTCCTTTAAGGGTTCCGTCTTTAGGGTTTAGGGTTTAGAAGGGTTTAGGGTTCAGGGTTACTTTAACGGTTCCTGTAAGGGGTCTTTTTGGGGTTTAGGGTTTAAGGTAGAGCGTTCCTTCAGGGGTACCTTTGATGCAAACGATGTGATGGTTCATTTGCTGTCTTTTTAGGGGTGGCACTTGCAAGGGTTGTGTAAAGGGGCTGTACAGGTCATATAGAACCTGACTCAGGTATAGTGATACTTATATTATATATATATGTGTGTTTGCGTCATGTGTATACATATATATATATATATAGGGAGATATTTATGGGGTCGGTTTTCTGGCATTGTATATTGCAACCCACATTCAGAGCCCAGTTTCCGGACTCCATCACCTGTCGATTGGGATTGGGACCTTTTGGGCGTCCTCAACTTGACAGTGCTATTCGTTACATCGCTTCTTGCTCTTGACCTGTGACCTTAGCCCATACACCGTAAACCCGACACTCGAAGCTCTAGTTATCCCCAAACCCTGTGTAAGCCTAGGCCTACCCATATAGGCCCTAAAGTTGTTCGTTTTGGGGTTACCTTATTATAGGATTCTGTATATAAACCCCAAAAAGGAACTACTTTAGGGCCTATGGGTAAGCCCTAAATCATGCACATCCCCGTGTTGCAGGGGATTCCCAGCGGCTTGGGCGTGGATGCCGCGACCTGCGTCGGGCTGTGACCTGCAACAAGAATACAGCGTTTGGGGCTTGGGGATTCGAGTTTATAAGGTTGGGGGTGAGTGTTGAGGCTTTGAGATTAGGGTTCAAGGTTGATTTTAAGGTTGGGGATTAGGGTTTAGGCTTTGAGATTAGGGTTCAAGGTTGATTATAAGGTTGGGGATGAGTGTTTAGGCTTTGAGATTAGGGTTCAAGGTTATCAGGTTGGGGATTAGGGTTTAGGCTTTGAGATTAGGGTTCAATTTTTAGGGTCCGATGCGCGGTACGTGTGCTTCTCTTTGCCAAGCAGCTTCTCGTTGAACTCAACCTTGGCCCTCCTCCCAAATACAGTGGCCTGGAGCCTTAAGCGCATGCGTGGAGGCGGCAGGGGGATTAAGTCCGAAGCTCATCGCCCAATCCATTCCACAGGGCTGGAGGGGGGGGATGATCACACAAAAGGCCCATGACCACCAGCGGTGATCTTATAACCTTCAACTGCAATTTTATTGTTTGGAATTCAACTTGGATCCCATTTAAGCTGAGATAGATAGATTCAAGAACAGGGCCTTGAGGTATGCTGCACTACTATAGTTCACAACAATTCTATCGCGTTGATAAGAGGTTTTGATCGTCTTACCAGTTTTGCAAGCCAAAACCCTAAACTGCATGACTTTTCATTGAGGCCCGGATTACGATACTGTAGTAACTCAGTATTAGGTTCTGCAGTGTTTAAAGGGTACATCATAGTAGCCTTACAAATGAATGCAGGAACCTGATTCAGGAACCCAGGCCCTATAACCCCACAAATGCAGTCTAGAATTCATATACACAACCCTAGTACAGACCCAGGGTTTCTTAATAAGGGTAGTTGTCAAAATTAGGGTCCCTTTTGGGGTACCCTAAATATTAGGTGCCGTATTATAATAAGGACCCAAAACGGGACCATAATTTTGACAACCACCCATAAGATTCCTATGATAGAACCCTGTAGATCCTTTAACGGGACCCTAAAGCAACCCCCAGTCGACAAGTGCCTGAGAGATGGCTAGGTCTGCTGATCTTGGCTACTAGGGTTTAGGGTTTAGGGTTTAGGGTTTAAGGGTTTAGGGCTGTATAACGTTCTGTGACTCTGTTTTGATTAGTCCGTCGCAACGTTGCTCTTGACCGTGCCCTGCAATGCGGGCTCGTCCTTGCTAGGTGGGAGGCAAAAAAACCCCTAAACCCTAAACCCAAAGCCTCAAACCCTAAACACCCTCAGCCTTAAACCCCAAACCCTAAACCATAAGGTACAATGGAGAGACTTGCACTGCGGGCTGCGTGGCTCCCTTCGAAGGTGGTCCTGTGAACCTGACCTGCCGCTCGGGCCATGACTTTCAGGAGCTCTCATAGGGCGTTGTAGGGATTTGGGGTTTAGGGTTTAGGATTTCATAGGGCTTCAGAAGATTTCATAGGGTTTATACGGGTTTTATAGGGCTTTGATGGGACGTTCAGTTTGTGGTTTGGCTGCATGCGTTTGTTAGGATTCGTTTTGTTCTTATAGTGAAATGTGCCTGTTAGTAAGTCTTCCTTAGGACTCCTTGTATATACCTATATTATAGCACAATATGCCCCGAAATTACATTCCATAGTTCCACCTGTTCAGCCCTAAGCGCCCTAAACCCCAGACCTCGAACGACACGCCTCGCCTGGATTGCCCGAGGGTGAGTGCCGAAACCCTTTGGGCTTCGTCTTGGCTAGGTGGGAGGTTAGGGTTTAGGGTTTAGGGTTTAGGGTTTAGGGTTTAGGGTCTCAGCAAGCCTTATAAACCCAGAACGCTCTTCTGAGTGCTCGAACAGAGCAGTCGCCTTGAGTGAGCCATGTCAAAGCCATAGAAGTCTGACTACTGCCCCAGTCTTGAAACCTATCTGTCGATGATTAAGTTTATGTGGTGAATGTTCTCTGTGTTGCAGTTGTCATGTCTTCTTGTTTAAGTCAGGCATGCTTGTCAGCGCCTAAAGACTGGGCAAACAAAGCTGCCCTCAAACTCAGTTTTTGCATCTGCCAAAGTTACCTGAACAACGCTGCAGTGCGGGCTCGTCCTTGCTAAGTGGGAGGCAAAAAATCCCTGAAGCCCCGAAAGCCCCAGGCAATCCTCTCTCGGGGCAGTTGGAGGGCCCCGTCTTGGAGTGCAAAGAGAAGGTCTGTGAGGTGCAAGTTTCCCGAGAGACTCTTGGGGCTTAGGGTTTTGGGTTCTTTAAGGCTTTCAGGTTTAGGGGTACGGTTTTAGAGTCTAGAGGGCAATTTAGGATTTCAGGGTGTACATATGTGTACATCCTACTGCTTTAGGGTTTAAGCGGCGCCTTTCGACCGTTTCTTAAGAATCACATGACGATGCGACGGTGGTTGTGAAGGAATTACAGACCCTCTCCTTCCATAGGTCGAGGGAAAGGCGTGCTGTTCAGAGGCCCCCGAAACCCAAGATGGCCGCTGAACCCCAAGGGGCGAATAGCCGCAAACCCACGCGCCTTAATTTTAAAATCTGCGGGCGAACCTCCTGAAGCCTAAACCTAAATCGATTCGAAAGAACTTCACAAGTCAAAGGCTTGTCTCGGGTGCAACAGTACGGTTTAGGGCTTTTGTCTTGCAGGCTGGCGCAGGCGGGTGCCAGAAAGTACAGGTGAATCTAACGTAGTATTAGGTTTATGACGTTTATCGCGGTCCCTAATCTAAACCCCCAA